CCCCCCCCCCCCCCCCCCCCCCCCCCCCCCCGCGCCTTGGCTGGGACCCCACGCTTGATCGTGGGAAATGTGACGTGTGAGCCTTCCCCGGGGACCGTGTGAGCGCCAGCCTCTCCTTGTGGCCGTGATCCTAGGAACCCTGCCACGTCGCGTGGTGGGAGGCCCGGGGTTCTTGGAGGCCCGCTAGTGCCGCTCATTATGGATGAGTCCTGCAGCCCGCAGAGGTGAGCACACAGGCAGGGGGTGGGCGGGAGCTGGTCACACGGTCTCAGTGTTGGCTAAGCGGTGGGTGCTGACGCTTCCTCTCCCAGCCATGCCAGTGGCCATCGTGCTTCTCTCCGTGGGACGGTGACCTTCTTCCTACTTGTCCTTGGGGGGACCTTCCAGAGGAAGGAACTGTGTTTACACGAGCAGTTGTTGCGGGTCAGGGCCTGTGCTGGGGCCTGTTTTCCCAGGGCAGATTCCTTCGGTCCTGCCCCAAACCCTAGCTGTGCAAGGTAGCATTGCCCCCATCTCATAGGTGAGGACACGGAAGTTCGAGAGGCCGAGTAGGCCCAGGACACCAGGGTAGTGAGCTTGTCATTGGACAACCCAGGGGCGGGTGGAGGCGGAGCCCTGTGGCTGAGTGCTGTGGCCCCTGTAACCCAAGTGACAGGGCTGACAGCGGCCCCTGGGCATTCCGCTAGGGGGCAGAGTGTGGACAAGGCTGCGGCCTCACAGACCAGGTTTCAACATCCGCCTCTATCCCTGAAGGGTGGGGGGGATGAGATTTGATGGGGTGAGATGAAGCCTTGGCAAGGCAGAGGCCTGCATGTTCGAGGACACGGGGTGGCATGTGAGGACTCAGTGGGAAAGAAGCAGCTGGGAAATGCAGACTGGAAAGGGGAATTGGGCCAGTGGGGGCGAAGCCTTGAATGCCACACTTACCCGTTTGGGCTGCACTTGGTGAGCAGAGGAGAGGGTGCCCTGTGTGGTCTCCGAGGTCTCCTGTGTTCTTGGAAGAAGTGCTTGGTTGGTGGCGAAGTCCCCTCTCTCACGTGGGAACAGCTTTCCTCTGAGTACTACAGGAAGGACAGCCTTGTCTCAGCTGAGGCGCACCCTGAGCTGCTGCAGCAAACAGACCCCCAAAATACAGTGGCTGGATTGCGACAGTCTTCACTTACTTTTCATATGTGTAAGCGTCCAGAGCAGATGGCGCCACTGCCGTTCCCAAAACACAGCACAGCCAGTGGCAGAAGGGGCTGGGAAAGTAGTCTTTGGACGGGGCCCCGGGCAGTGAATCCTTGGGGTTGCGTGGCAGGGGACAATGGCCGTGGTTGGACAGATCCGACCTCCTGCCCAGACCAGCCGCTCGCCGGTGGCCGTTTTGGTCTGTGGAGCTGTGCCCAGCACCGGTGGTCACCAAGCACCTGTCGCACTGCTGTGATAACCAGGAGAGGGAAGGGTCTAGGATCTCTGACAGGTTAGGTGTGGCCCCGGTTCCATCTTCTCATTGTTTCCACGTCACCCATGGTGGAGAACGGTAGTCCCCAGAGTGTGTCTGCGCCATCCAGGCCCTCCCACCTGGGTTGACCCAGGCCTGCTTGCCTTGTTCTCTCCCACGTCTTCACCAGTCTCACTGGGTGATTCCCACATGCTCAGGACTCCCCCGATACCCCACTGCTTGCAGGGGCTGGTGGGGATGCCTTACCTGCTTTCTCCTCCCTGGAGGCCCTCCATTGTCTCTTTTTGTTTTAGGTGATGACTGCATTCTGGAGGTGGCTGGCTAGTCCCCAGGCTGCGCTCTCCCTCCTGCTGTTCTGGCCTGGGCCGCCACCTCCCTGACACAGCTGCCCCTGCCCTGTGCCCCCTGCCCCCAATACGTGGTGAAGGACTGGCCTCTGGGAGAAGTTGCACCCCCCCCGCTCTGTGGTACTTAGTCCCTGTCCTTCCCCTGCCCTCTTTCAGGAATGCAGTTTATTCTACTCCAAGAGGTTTTGCCTCCCCTGTGTCCAGGAGAACATGGACGCCTTCCCTCAGGAAATCCGGCAAGACTTGGAGAAAAGGAAAGCTCCATCAAAGAGGCCGGCCAGCCAGCCTGGCTCTCGGACGTGAGTGCAGCGGATGCCAGGTTGGCAAGAGCACCTTGCACAGAGCTCTGGGGCCGAGCTGGGAGCCGTCGTGCCCAGCCTTGTTCCGGGACAGGCAGGAGCAGTGTGTGCAACTGGAGTGAGCTGGGGCCCGGCCTGCCCCAGGAAGGTGACTGGGAGACGCAGAGAAGGCACTCAAAAGGCAGACCTTGGACCAGACATCCTGCAGACCCACCCCCATCCAGAGCCCTCTCGATGCTGAGACCGCAGGGCAGGAACTGAGGAATGGCTCAGAACTGGCACAAAGGGAGGCCAGGGCTGGGCCTGCTGGCCCTTTGGCTCTCCTCCCAGACCGGAGGGCTCTGGGCCTGCCCGCAGGGTCATCCCCTGGCTCCTGCTTACAGGCGACAGACCTGGAGGGGCCTTTATGCCCTTCGCATGATTTCGTCAGATCCAGGAGTTGCCTCCAGGTAACATGCTGCTCTGCCTGGCCCTGAGGACACAGGAGTAAAGGGACAAAGCCCACTGCCCTGGTCCAGTATGGGGAGGCCCTCTGGTCACACTGGGGGGTTGTGCTGTCCGTGCTCATGCAGAGGCAGGACAGCTGGGTGGGGACTCTTGCTTTCTCCATCCAAGGAAGTGAGTGTTCATGCAGGGATGACCTCACTCAGTCAGATGGTTCACAGGGTAGTGACCTGTGGGAAGGTGCCTGAGGTGTGTGGGGGAGCTGCAGATGCAACTGGGGGGTCCAGGGGCGGTGGAGTTTCACTTCACATCCTCGTGGTGCTTGGAAAACGTTTTAAATCTTGACCACGCGTTAGATCCGTAATTAAAAACCCAGAGAGCCAGTTAATGTTTTGAAAAGTAATCCTTCCCCAGAAACATTTGCGAGGCAGATGTCCTCCTTGGAACTCTGGATCTGGCGTGGGTTGGGGGCTGGGGTGTTGCCACATGAAGCCTCTTCTGTCCTGTCTGTCCCGCAGGCTCTGGCTCTGGCCCCAGGCCCAGACCCATTCCAAGGCAGAGCAATGCCTTCCCCTGCCTTCCCTTCGCTCACACAGAGGCTCCCAACTTGAGGTGCTGGCTTGCCCCTCTCCACAGGGGACCCCGCATCAGCTCTGCAGGCTCCTGTAGGCGGCCACAGGGCACTCGTCCCCCCACAGATACCCCTGCCCTGTGGCCTCCACCTTCGCCATGGGGGACACACTGAAGGGTGCACTTGGCTCTGCTGGCTCTCAGAGGGCCGGAGCTGTTCTATCTTTGCCCGTAACTGCCTGAAGGCCCGCTGACGCTGTCCTGGGGGGCGCCAGACGTGGGTTTGAGAAGAGAATGAATAAAGAGCTTTTATCGGCTGATGGGTGCACTGGGTTTTATTTTCAGATGCTTCCCCTGCGTCACGTTACTTTAGACGAGTGGCTGTCTTCCTGGGGCCACAGGATGTCCTAGGTCCATTCTGTGCGCCAGAGGACAAAAGGACTAGAGGTGAAGACCCATGGGGGAGTGCGGTGCGGGCTGCTCTGGGCCGAGGGCAGATGCTACAGCCGGGGACTCAAACTAAACGTTCATCTCATGGCATCACTCAGAACTCACCAACTAATTTTAAAAAATACTTTTATTTTTTAAAACCATTAAGGCAACGCTGTACCCTGAAATTAAATCCTTACATTCATCAGTCTTACAGTAGGACATTCCAAAGCTGTACATTCCCATAAATTCAGTATATAAATCAGCATACATGATCAGTTCAATCTCCTAGCAGGAAACAGAATAAGACCGAAGATTTTTTAAAAATTAAAAAGTTAAAGTCATTCTCTAATTGCTTGGAACCGCTGTTGGTTAATGTGACTCGGAAGATTCCATTTGCTCTTGTGTGCACACCCCTGCTCCCTGAGGCCCTGGATGCCCCCTCCGCCCAGACCCAGAGAGCGGCCCCCAGAACCTGCTCTAAAAGATCTCCTTTGGAACTGCTCCTGTTTAATACGAAGACAAGGGGTCTACCAGCCCCTGAAGACTTGGAGAGTATAAAGCACCAAAGAGTGGTAACGATAAACACACCAAGAAACCAAGCTCAGTCTTGCTTTGGAAATCTGCACCCATCTAATGTTCTGACATGTGTCGGTCCGTTGCTCTCAGCACCACGGCCCTGTGGACATCAAGAAGTTCTGCTGAGATACTGAGAATGACCCAGGGGGACTCACGGGGCCCGTAGTTTCTGTTCTATGCTTTAGGCTGGGCCATCTGGGCATTGCCAGAGAACCAGTGGTGCAAATATCCCATCCGAAGATTTTGGATTGCCCGAGTACTTTGGTAATAACCCACAGGTAGTAATTCCCTGAAGAGCAGACTGCGACCCACGGCCCAGGAATAGTTCAGGTCTTCATCAGGATACTGCTGGGGGCAGTAAGTGACTCTGGACCTGGGTCTCTGGCCCCCTTGCCGGCAGAGACGGTGAGGACAGACTCACTTGTGCTTGCATGTGAGGCACGATGGGGGGAACAGATCTATACAGGGAAATAAACTGCATGGCTTGGGAGAGACAAAAAGCTGTGTGTGTGTGTGCGCGTGCGCACATGTGTGTGCGATCGTATGTCAGTTATATTCCAGCATCCTTTGTGTTTCCGGTAGGTTCCAAGAGCCAGGCTACTAAGAGTATATGTCAACTAATACTGATTTCAAAAGAATCCAAATCTTTGTTACTAGATGCATGATTATAAGTTAGTAAAATATTTATACTATTTCTTAAACTTGAATCCTAGTATTTAAGATACAGCTACAAACAGTTCTATGTACCATACAGTGTAGGAAAAATAATGCTCAAACGCAAATACTGTGACCTTACTGGAAAGGGTACTGAGGGGTATTCATTATTGTGAGGTAATTTTTTTTTTTGTTAATTTGTTTTTAGGCCTGAAAAAAGGCAGACTGTGCTTTTTAAGAGAAGATAGTTTCCAAAAGTGAATGATTTTACTTTGGAAAGATTGGTCACTCGCTTATCTTTAAGGCCTGAAGCTTGACCTCCCTGCCCTGAGAAGGCCAGGCTGAGGCTGGAGGACGCCTCCAGGCCCAGAGCCCTCCCCTCGGGGCTCACCTGGGTGGGTGGCTCACGGAGGGGGGCAGGTCCCTGTGCTGGTCTGCACAATGCTGCAGTTTGTTGAATTAACGAATTAAGGAAGTTTAGATGTTGGGTGTGAGGAGAAGGGTAAGGGAGGAGGAGGCCAGTATATTCCCTTCTCTGGAGAAGCACTTGGGGAAGTTCTTCACACCTGACCCAAACTAGAAAACAAATTAAAAAAACCTGATCCAGGTCTTAACCCTATCTCTGACATTAAAAAAAAAAAAAAATAGTTTTTTTTTTCTTTTATTTTGGCAGATAATGCACTGAACAGCTAGTGGGCCACTGGAGTCCTTGATGTTCCCCATTGCTTCAGTCAAGATGTGACTTTGAACGTGGGTCAGGTTAGTCTGTTCTGTTTGGCAAGGAATTCCAAAAGGATGTGGCTGTATGTATTTCAGCTGGGCCACATTACATGTCCCCCCCCACTTTCCTGAGGTAGGGTAGTACACAGTGACACTTGTCCTTGTCTTAGACTGAAATGTCGAGAAGCAAATGGTCCGCTGAGAGCCCCACGCTAGACCTGAGAAGGCATCCCAGGCCTCATGCTGCAAGGGCAGCTCAGACCGAACCCTGGCCGCCAGCCTCTCACTTGCTGTCCTGATACGTGGGCCACCCCCAAAGCCTTTACAAGCCTCGGCCCACTGCACGGAAGTATTAAGGCACCCAGCTGCACTGCACAAAAATAGCATAACGGAGAGAACTCTCTAATTCCTTAAACTGACACATGAAGATTCATTGTCTTTTTTTTCTTCTTCTAAAACTTTCAATATTACCTCTAATTTGCATTGTGGTTTCCAGAGAAATTAATGGATCTCGTCTCCTGAGTCAGACGAAAGTTCACTGCCTTTGTTCCTACTCCAGTGCATGTCACAGGCTGGAGGTCAATGACCATTTTCCTGAATTCTATTAAAATGGCACCTAAATATATATAATATATGTATATATATTTATATCCCAGCAAAAAAACATAGGCTGCAACCTTTGGAGCCTGGCAAGAATCCTTAATCCCAGGGGAACCCTATAAATCAGCTTGGACCAAGAGTTACAAGAAGCGGGGCCACATTTAAGAGGAGAAGAACAAACACAAGGGGCCTGGCTTTGGAGCCACCCGGTGCCGGGCTGGGCCGACGCTGTGAAGACTCGGTACGTGGGAAAAAGCTTCCACGGACACTTGTTAATAATCAGTAAGCTCTCAGTGGGTCACACTGATTGTAGCTGGCGACTTGCACAGCGGGATGTCCTTGCCATCCTGAATGGAACCACAGCTATGAACTTAAAGGCTTTAAGCAAGTGACCCCTCCGGGAACACCTGCAGTGCAGGTTGGTTGAAACAGCGCACCCCTCTCTAAACGGGCTTTTGTCAGACATTCCGGAGACGGGTGTAGCCACTGGGTAGAGACAAAAAAAACAAAAAAAAAAAACAAAAAAAACCCAAAAACCAAAAAACCACAACCATCAGTATGCGGTGGATAGGTATCTAAGGTGCTTGGTGGTTTGAAGAAGCGAGGAGGAGGCAGGAAGTGCCCAGAGGCAGCACAGAGGCCCAGGTGCACCTTGGACAGTCACTTCCCAGTTAAGTCGGCCCGGAGGCATCTGCTTCCAGCCTCATCCAGCAGGGTCTCTCCCTGAGCCAGCTGCCGCGGCCAGCAGCTACAACCGAGGAGCAGGGCGGGTCACTGTAGCCAGTGACTGTTCCCACTTCTTGACCCAGGTCATGCTCCACCTCAGGGCCACCAAACTGGGGCAGCAGCTTCTGCACGTGTGTATCTTGGAGGCACTCTTTAAACTACCAAAGTGTCTTTAAGGGGTCACATGACCTTCTACCTCTCAGTGTGCAATCAAGCAAAGGTGAGTAACTGGAATCTTACTCACAAATGATCTGACTATAGGTGCTGCAAAAGGACCCCGAGTGTTTCATGTACCTTAATTTTAACTGTGTCTTTAGATGTACTGTATTGAGGTAGCTGTTATGCTATAGATTTGGGGAAACAGTAGTGGCTAAATTAATAGTTTACTTATCACACATTAAACAAAGGATTCTACTTGTGCCTTGCTTGAGCTTCTGCCCAGATCTTAGGACGCTGCCCTGTCTCTGGAACCCCCACACCATCCTTGAGGCTGTTTGTTTCCTTAGAGTTTCAGCTGGCCCAGTGTAAGAAACGCATCCAAAATGCAGAAAGATATATTCTTGTTCTTCCAACGAGGAGTCCCTTTAAAATAGCTCTCGTAGGCATTCCTGAACGCACTGTGCACCAAGGTTCTCCTGGACTTCACATTCTTTTTGATATATGTACACCTGCTGTTCAGGGAGATGCCTGGAGTGCATCTCCTCTGAGAGCTGTAAGGCCACAGGGAAACTCGAGAGCAAGGTGGGAAGAAAGCAGCAGCTCACTGGCACTCTGAAGATTCCCAAACTGTCCCTGCCTCCCGCTCGTGCTGGTACATTCGCTTGCATCCTGATTTTGAAGATGCTGGGCTTCCCCAAGACGGCCACCGGTGTGCACAGCCCTCAGCGTGGCAGGCGCGGGATTCTGCGTGTGGGACACCCAGCTGGAAGTGCCCAGGAGGACGAAGGGGAGGGACACTGTGGGACTAGGGAGAGAGGGCCAGGCCGGCTCCCAAGCTGGAGCTGGCTGCTGGGTTCAGGAATTGTCCTTGTCAGGCCTACAGACAAAGGGTGTTGGTAATTTTGTGGTTTCTGAGGCATCGGGCACTTGTGGCTACAGACAGTGACTTGTCTAAGGGTGTCAAGGTGGTGGCATGGGGAGCTGCATCGCGTGCCGAGTTCCCCAGCAGAGGAGGGGCTCTGTGCCCTGGTCTGAGGCTCTCAAACCTGTTCTGTCAGATCTACCCCACTTCATGCTGATGTCTGCTGAAACCCAGCAGGCAATAAATGTGCTTTAATGAGCCCCTACTGGAAATGCGACAGTATTTTGAACTGGTGAATAATTTGCCCATATCTGACAAACCTGGTCTGAGAAATCTTCAATTAGGTGGCCTGAACATTCTGCATGGCAATCTGTGACTGTTATTTAAAATGAACAAGAATCTGTGATTTTCTTCCTATCTGTACCAGTGAACAAATTTAAGTGACTTTCGAGCCACAGTCTCTGCAGCCTCCTTTGTGGCCTCACCGGGAGTGTCTCTGGGCGTCTAGCTGGGCCCCAAGAGAGCCAAATGCTCACTGACACTAGGAACGCAGAACCTATGCCTTCGGTAGCAGAATGCATGAAATAAGGAGCTTTTTAAAAAGTAAGTTTTATGAAAACAGAACCATGAATGAGTGACTTTCGTGAAAGCCTGAATCTTGAGGGTCCCTTTCTGAGGCCATGTCTCTGAATGGCATCCACATGGGGCATGTGAGAAGAAAGGCCAGTGGACGACGGAGGTGACACAGATGCAGCAGCGGCCCAGGGGTCCTTGTCTTAAGGAAGAACGCCCACACAGACATGCCCTCTGACTTTGGGTGACCTCTTGACGGGTGTCATTCATACATGGAAATACTTTTATTTGCTTCCAACAGATCCCTTGATTGGACCTCTCAACAAGATAAAAACGAAAACTACCACTAAGGTTTAATTTTGAGAAGGATGTGCCTGTTGTCACATTTGCCTTTTCTAGTTGAAATCTCGCAGTTTTATCATTCTCACTCCTTTCGCATTTCCAGGATGCTGACCTTGGGATCTTGATTAATCTCAATCCTAATCATTCCTCGACAGCAAGTAGTAGAGTGACCTTACAGAGACAAGTTTTCTGGAGACAGAGGGGGAGGGGCGCCAAGGGCACAACCAGGTCGTAAGAGCTGCCAGGAGGCAGGGGGTCAGAGGCAGGTGGCCGGGGGGAGGTGGGGGGCCCACACCCCTCCTCTCCGGCTTCCACTTCAAGCTCTGGCAGGCTCAGGCCTGGCTGGCCTGGAGGGCAGGGCAGCTGCGAATCCCCTCACAGGACATTTACGTACTATGGTGGACAAAAAGAGAGAGTCTTTCTAGATCCACATGCTCTGGACGAGAACCACGAGGAACACTGCTTTCATAACCACACCGGGGTTTAGGCTGAAACAAGTATTTCAGATGTCAGGAAAGCTGCCTTCCATATGTAATCGGAAAACTGCCCCATGAAGGATGCTGTGTCTGCCCCCCCTCCTTCTCCACGTGGTCCCCCCAGGGCCCATGCTCTAAAGTCCTGTTTGCCTCACCTTCTATGCTCGGGTGCAGCCACTACCACCAAGAGTTCAAAAAATAAGGCTGCATACTTTAGAAAGCAACACATGAAAAGACCAAGGAGCTGCATTGACATATGGGGCCCAGAGGAACACTGACAAGCAACTTGTCAGTTTGCCCCCCAAAATGCTATCATGGCCCCCAAACAACCTGACTCGGTTGGTTCCCATTTGATAGGGAGCAGGTCAGACGGACGGAGAGCTGACACACTTCCCGTTTGTCTTGCTCCTGCTGCCCTGACGCCAGCTCAAAGCAGGCAGAGAATCAATTCCAGGGGGCGTCTCGAGATGAGGCTTTCTGGGATCATCTACACACGCCTGCAAACAGGCCCTTCCACCTAAGTCACAACCATGAACACAGTGAAAACCAACTGACTGCTGCGTTTGGATAGCTTATCAAAAGATCCTTTGAAATTTTAAATCCTATGATTAAGAAACAGCATGTTGTCTGTCTTCAAATTCAGGAAACAGAATTAAGGTCTTTCCAATAAATATTTTGCTGCTTTTTAAAAAATACTTAACCTTTGGATTCATCTAGATTTATAGGATTATAAAAGTTAAAAAGTGCTGATTAGTTTAAAAATGATAAGGGAGCACAACAGCCAAAGGTGGCAAAAGGAGAAGACAGACCACATATTTCGAGATCACCAGTTAATTCAGTGCTACGTTATTCATGTGATATCAAGAAATCTGCATTGATTAACATCAGGTGAGTTAAAATCAAACCACTGGGCATCATTCCCCTTAATTTTCTAAGAACTGCTTATAGATACCTGTCCCCACCAGTTCAATACTTTGCACACTCTCGGAAGTACTGGTGTGAAAAAGAAAGAAATGTGGTCTAGGGTTCCGGTTACCTAAGGCTCATCCGTCCCATTCTCTAAGGTGAAAGCGGTGGAATTTGTGCATAGCGGATGTTGCTCCCGTTCCCCATCTGTAGTGCTGTCGACTTTAGAAGTCCTTGGCAACGTGGCCTGGGTGTTTTACCTTCAACCCATCAGTACATGTCCCTGTAGATTTCTTGCAGCAGCGGGTGCAGGGCGGCGTCAGACTCGGTCTTTTTGATGACCTGCACGAGCTGCGCGTGCTCAGTGACGAGCTGCCGGAGGTCTGCCATTTTTTGAAGGAGTTTTGGGAAGAGAAAGATGTTGTCCGGGTGGTTGGTCTGCAAGTGAAGTTTGAGCACGTGCACAATGCCCTCCTGCATTTTTTCAATGTGTCCCACGTTTAGAAGGCCGGGACGATCTATTCTCAAAAGAAAGAAGAGATGATCATGACAGTCACCCCACTGATGACTCGTAACTGTTTATCGGTCGGGGAAACCAGACATTCCTGCTTATGGGGCCTCTCATTGCTATTCCAACCTTTCGATAATGTCGACTCTGCTGGAAGACAGAACTCAATTCTGCAAAAGTCACTGGGACTGTTGGGTAGATGGGACCAACACTTGGTCCTAAATATTTGTATACTGCCTTAAGTCGACCAACTACTCTACAGGATGGCCCTTTCATTTTGGGTTTATCTCATTACCGCTGGTCCAGGGAAAAACCCAAAAACATTAGGAGTAACCATATATTACAATGATGATTAAAACAACCAGTTTTTTCATAATATGAAGTGAAATACTTCTTGAGTGAAAACTAAATATTCGCTTTCAAGTTTTCCATAACCGTGTGAAGGAGTGTGACTATGTTGGACTGGGTTTTGTGGTATAGCGCACTGTAAGGGGTAGGAATGCTATGAGTCTTCCGATATGACTCAGCTGCATAGACAGAGGAGTGACATGTGAGTGGCAGATGCCAGCTGTACCAGATGCTGCTGAGCCCCAGGCACTGGACCTCTCGAGACAGCCCAAGAACATGTGTCCTGCCTTGGGTCCAGAACCCACCTTGTCCCTGTCCCTGTCCCCATCCCTGTCCCCCTGTCCAAGAGGCAGTGCTCTCTTTAAAGCCTCAGTCCTTACTAGGATTGTTAAAAGTGTTGCAAAGGATGTGGATTTTGTTCGTTGCTTTTTTTGGTTTGAAATGAATCTAATTATTCACCTTTTAAACAGATTAAAAGAAACAGAAAGTGAATCCCCCTCGTAAGGTTTAATGTGTATCACACTTGATCCTTTTCTATAAATAGGATTGATCCATGATTTTTTTTGAGTGAGAGAAAGAGCACACATGGCAGGAAGGGGCTGAGGGAGAGAGAGAATCTGAAGCAGGCTCCCCGCTCAGCGCAGGGCCTGATGCAGGGCTCGACCCACTACCCTGAGTTCATGACCTGAGCCGAAATCAAGAGTTGGACACTGAGCCGCCCAGGCACCCCAGGACTGATACAGGATTGTAATTTCTTCTAGAGAACTGTGCCCTACTCCTATAAAGGTTCGTGCGGTTGCTTTTTACCCACAGCACTACATCTTGAGCATACAGAGGACAAGAGTAGCTGACATCAAACTGCCCTACAGTTTCCATTGCTTGCCGGGGCACAAGGGCGCCAGCTGACCGCGTGCAGCTGGATAGTAGCAGGGACAGGCCTTGTGGAGCTTCCGCAGTCTGGGCAGCTGTGGCTGGCCTCAGCTCTGCACGTCAGCCACCTGCGGGGCACAGCACGGTTTCTCGCAGTGGGCGGTGGTCGCCTCATCAGTCTCCCCCAGACTGGGTAAGGTCAGCTGAGTTTACAGTACAGGGATGACCTTCTTATATCAGGACAGGGTTATTTAAAGGAACAGGACATTAAGCCAAAATTCTGGGAGCTGCAGAGCCAGCTTCCCTGCAGAGAGGCCCAGATTCTCCTTCACTGGGATCCATTTCCTTTGGCAAAGCAAACTGCAAACACTGCCAGTTAGCTACTGACATTTTTCATCATGAAACAGAATATACCAATAGTGAGATAAACTGTACTGACATCTGCCTGGCACTTCATATAATCCTGTCTGTAATACGGACAGAATACTTTAACAGTAGAATTACATAACAATAATAATATACACCATATATTATGATCTTATCTAATATGTATTAGATATTAGATACATATTAGATAAAAATTGTATTACCATTATACCTAGTAAATTATATTTGATGATTATATTATAATCAGAAATAGGATATTATGTATATAACATAGTTATGAATGGAATGTATTTATATAATGTACAAATATGTATTTAACTATAATAACATATGCTAGAATATGATACGGTATGATATAATTCTCACTTAATTCTCCTTGGTGGTGACGCAGGGGCTCTCAGACGCCCTCCCGCCTGCTGGTGCGTGCTTCACCATGCGCCACTCATGCACAGACAGATTTACTGCCATCCTTTGGGAGAGGAGGCTGCAGGTGACACCAGATTCGGTCAGTGACTTACCTCCACAGCAAATTATAGCAGCCACAAAAAGGGAGATATCACTGTCATCCAGCTCCAGCGCGTTGAACTTCATCGCAAAGTCAAACTTAGGTTCCATGATATCACAAAACGGTTTCCTTAGGCTCTTCAGGAATTCACGAGTTATAAAACCATTTCCATATGCTACCAGCATCCCATCTTTATTCATCACAGAAGACAGCATGGCAAATATGGCCTCATAAACTCCGTATTTCAGCAAAGTGACCTGATCGTTCAAGTCCAAGTTGGCAAAGCCAGGGATGGACTTGGCAAACTCGGTGAGCTCGGTGACGGTCTCCACAGACGTGCACTGGCAGCAGTGGAAGATGCGGACTTCCGCCTCCTTGTTCTGGATACCGTTGGCCACCAGCTTGGCCACCAGAGTCTTCTCGGCCATACACAATGTCTCCATGTCGTGTATGACAAAGGGCTGCAACAAAAGACACGGAAATGAGCCAGTTCCCCGGGGACAGGCTGTCCTCTTAATTATCAATGAACTGATGAGCAGCCAGTGTCTGCAGATCACCTGTGGAGAAGCGCGATATGAACAAAATGCTGTCTTCGTCCTTAAACAACCTCAAAGTTGGCTGGGGACACAAAGACATTTATGGAGAACTAGCAATATAAATCTGTAAGGTAAGTATCATCACTGCCTGACACCGGGTGGGGATTTCATTGCTATGAAAGGGAAGTCCTGATTTTGGCAATAAAGCTAACAAGAGCGTATTTGCAAAGCACTTCTAATACTTTATAAGATTTTCGGAACTCCTGACTACTACTGCAGTGGCCCTAACTACAGTAATTTTAAAATTTTTATCCCCAAAGAACAGCTGACATACAATGGTATATGAGTTTGAGGTGCACAGTGTAGCAATTCAACACATCTACACCTTAGGCAGTACCCACTCCCTGAGTGGGGTCCCCAGGAAACGTAACTATGGTACTATTGACCACAGTCCTCATGCTGTCCTTTTCATCCCCAGGCCTATTAATTTTATAACTAAAAATGTGTGCCTTCACCTCTTTCACTCACCCTACAGTAACTCTTAATTTTACCATTTTATGAACTTCAGAGATAACCGTCGTTACCTGACCCTGACTACAGCATGAGTGAATTTGGTACGTAAATAGAACTCCGAAAGTTGGTGTTTGCATAGCAATAAGCAAGAGAGCATTGTTAAGCCCTTGCTTTCTGGGGGTCACCTGGGAAAATCTTAAAGAACCCTCACTTCCTCACTTCAGTGCTCTGTGTTCTGGAACAAGCACAAACCCTTAGGCCAGCAGTCCACACGTTGATATATACCAATTTCTTCTAAGACCACGGGTCCTGCCATTTTCCAAGTATCTAGTGGAGGAGAGGAGATGGTTGGCCCTGTTACTGGAGGCCAGCTTGCCCAGAAGGGATTATATATCTGGTGGGGCACAGGGGAATGGATGTAAATATTTTGTGCTGCTGGCCAAAATGTACACCAGATCTGTGCACAGAGCAGAAGAAATGACAGTCTCTGGGTGATCTCTGATTTATAATGTGTTCTACAGATCAGTAATGAGGTGGGCTGAAGCATTATTTTCAGTTCCTACCAGAATACATAAATGTAGAATGGCATAAGCAGCTCATGATTTTAAGACTCACTCTGCCCATGGGCAAAGCGTGTCACTGACACTCTGTCTGACCCCAGAGCACGATGTGGCCCCTATTCCTGGGCCCCCAAGATCATCTGGAGGAACCACAGCACGAAACCACCTTCAGGGCACCTGGAGCGTGTCCTTGTCTCAGAAGCAAGGCAGGCACGTTGGAACAATACAAGGCATTGTCTTAGAAATGTTTAAATAAAATTAGAATTTGCAGTACAGCATTGGACCAAAAAAAAAAAAAAACCACAACAATAATTTGATTCTACATCTGAAGAAAGGGGGTACTCAAAAAATTACCTGTGTGTGAGTGAAAACATTCTGAATACAAAATTCAAAGCCAAAGTCCCGACTATCTCAAGTCTGGTTAAGGAAGACTAAAAACCGTCTCCCTTCAAAGACTGTAAAAGCAGGCCTGATTACTGTTGTTTAGGGAAAGTTTGGGGGCAGTTCTGTGTCTTGGGAAGTTGCTCAGATTGAAGGAATTAACATTTTCGGGTGAGCTGGAGGGATGCTTTTGAAGGATACACAGCACTCTCCCTTCAAGTTCCAGAAAATACACGAGTAGGCCACCCTGGCTGTATCACTGGTTTGTAACCTTCGGCAGAAATAAAAACAAAAGTTGTGTGGCCCAAACAAATTTGGGAAATGCTGAGTTAAATGAAGTTCGGTCCTCCCAGAGTCTCTGCTGCGGGGGTGTGTGGTGGGAAGCTTCAGGAACAGGGATAGGCTGGGCAGCGGTTCCCCAAGTGTGTGATCCCAGAGCACTTGCATCCTTCGCTGGAGCATCTCACATGACTGGCACAGGACTGGCCACGGAATTTGCAGGACTCCGGGCGAGATGAAAATGTGGGGCCCCTCTTTCAAAAATGATGAAAAATTTCAGGACAGTGACAGCAGGGCACGAAATCCCAACCCCGGGCCCTTCCAGGCAAAGCTCCTTGTGAAACAGGACACAGGCCCATGAAACCCTCCTGGGACTAGTTTTATGTGAAACATACGCTCGTAAATGGGGAAGTAACTGGTACAAATACTTCATTTCATTTTTATAAAATTATCACTTGGATTTTAAGAAGGCAGGTCCTCATTAACAAACAAAATTAGAAACCATCTGAATTCAAAACCAGTGCTAACATTTAGAAACCAATGTTTATAGAAGCTCAAGAGAGAATGCATATACTAACTCGCTTGATAAACACTGTTGATAGGACTATTTAAAAAAAAATCCATGCTGCTTATATTTAATTATGGAATGCGCCTTTTAGACTTAAGTTTGAATATGAATGTATCTGACATCACAGGTGGTCATTTCAGATAAATAAAGGATGTTGTCACAAGTTTAAATAGCAGGAGGCAGAAAGCTGCCCAGCACCCCCACCCATCACTCCCCACTGAGACCAGAAGGTTCTCCCAACCGACATCTACCACTCGTGCACACGCCTGACGGTGTTCTGTGTGTGTTAATGATACTACTGACAAAAACTCATCTTTACATACATCTAAATAGCATTTTCTACATAAAGTGCAGGCAGCACCATCTTTTAGGAAAAAACTGTGATTTCTTGGTAGAACTGTTTTTGGATGGAACCATTTAATAAGCTTTTGGTTAGGTTTTACTACACATTTCAAGAAATGGTATAAAATATTAAGTGTGTTTTTTAAATCTTAAGGCACCTTAAGTTGTCAGTGTAATATTTCAATGTAACACCGCGGGCAAAACCCCACCACGTGGTTCATCATCCCCCAAAGCCATTTCGGAATGGCGCCCGGGGAGTCCCTCGTCTCAAAGATCTCGAAGCGCTAAGAATAATGTTGGAAGCCCTTTTCAAAATGCACATTAGAATCTATTCTCAGTCACGTGCCCAAAATTTATCCCCTTGCTTGGTTCATTCTTCTCTGACAACACACCTGATTTTGTTACTGACTGGCTACAAAGGACCCATGATTTTGTCTAAAATCCCTTAATCTTCTCAGGGGACACAGACTGTCCATAACTGAAAACATTCAAACACTCTAAAGACTATTCCCAAGAATTCTGAGCTATATGGGAACCTTTGAGATAAACGTATGCTGTGTCCTTCATTTGAATGAAGAAAGTCACAATGGTCTGTGACATCAGACCAGTGCTATTGCATGACCGTCGCCTGGCACAGTCAGTGCTGAAGAACTGCTTGTCCGTTTGAACCGAACACCCTCCCCTAGTTTCCAGAGGTGCAACTAGCTTCTAGCGCCAGCAGAGGCTGGGGCAGGGGTGGGAGGGCCCGTGCACATTCACAGGGCGGGCCCGAGCCCCTGGTTGCAAACCTCACAGGAGAGGCACAGACTTGAACGCTCCTCACCGTCTCACTGCATGTGGCCTTCCGGAGTCTTGTGATATTAACACCTCACACGTCAACACACCAACTTTTTAAGACGTTGAAAAGCACGTCTTTTGGAAGCCAAGTTCAGATGGGACCGATGTGTCCTCTGTGCCTCGGCTCTGCTTCCGTTCCTGTCGCCCTCAAATCACAGGGCAGCCAGGGCCCTGATGAGCCCTGGCCAGCTAGCTCACTCAGGGCCCTGGCGGTTTTCTGGCCTCCGGTTCTGAAATCTCAGTGGCTCAAACCAGCCGCATGTCCAGACAGAAACATTCACTATCCCTCCCATCAGCCCCTGCCCTCAGCTAACAGCCACCCTTCCCCAAAACAATGGGATCTACACGCTTCCTGCAGCTTCCTTCCTCCTCCCAAGATCCTCCCTCCACCGTTTCCCCACCAGCCTCCCATAGCACCCCTCTCCTGGCCCACCTAGCCCCTAATCGGTTCTAGCCGAGCTGTAGGTCTTCATGTTATGTGATCTACAGGCCACAGGAGATAGAAAAGCAGACCCTGTGTCCCGCATTGGGAGCTCCAAGCTCTGGCCGACGAGGACAGGGCTCCCTCCAAGAGCGTGCGGATCTTAGTGGTATATGCAGAAAGATACTCCGTGGGAATGAAACTAATGTTAAACAAGAGTGTTTGGTTCAGAGTCAAGTTAACTTTTAAGTTTCCCTTTAAAAACCCAAGAGAGAAACAGAAGATCTCAAAGAGATCAGAAGCTTTGGTTCCTCTAATATGGGGCTCTCCTAACCATTTCCAGGAGAGAAATTCCAAATTAAAAGGTTACTTTGCTGTCACCCTCATGGTCCAGAAAGGGTCTAATTTATACAAGCCCCTGGAGCCTTGCAGCACGGGTACAGCTTTAACCGATGTCCTAGAGTTCGCCTGAGCCAGTCTGAAACGTCTCCACCCATTTAATTGGAGAATTTTACTGAAGAATTAAAGACTCAGTAAAAGAGAGGTTTGGTTTGTTCATGAGAGTAAGTAGCTTGTGAAATACTTCATTTTCCTGTGACTAAAAATTCCAGCTTGGAATTCCCAATCAGGATTGCTTTAAGCTACTCATTAGTACGAATTAAACCTGTTTTGCCATGCTCGTAGGAAAAAAGCAAACTATCTTCATTAGCCAACCCTGGGCTGGCCCTTCTTTGAATTAGCTGTGAGATCAGTTCAGCAATGGACACAGAGACTGGGCGGACCATGGGGTCGGGGGCGGGTAGCAGTGCACTTCGGAAAAGGCCCAGAACTGTCGAGAGAAGACAAAGTTTCTGTAAACGAACAGCCCTTTCTAAACCCAGAGGTGTCCTTGCCTTTTCACTGAAAAAACAGGAGTGGGGTGGGTGGGGGCCTGCAGGGCGGGGTGTAGGAGAGGAGGGAGGAGATTTAGGGGAAAGATGCCAGAACATGTGTTGCGCGAAAGAAAATGCTTTCATTTTCTGGCATTAAAATAGAGATTTAGGGGCACCTGGGTGGCTCAGTGGGTTGAAGCCTCTGCCTTCGGCTTGGGTCGTGATCCCGGGGTCCTGGGATTAAGCCCCGCATCGGGCTCTCTGCTCAGCGGGGACCCTGCTTCTACCTCTCTCTCTCTGCCTGCCTCTCTGCCTACTTGTGATCTCTGCCTGTCAAATAAATAAATAAAATCTTAAAAATAAAATAAAATAAAATAGAGATTTAAGGAAAATATAGAGGATTTTTAAAAAATGCACTTAAGAAAGGACCCTAAGCTATTAACCAGATTTTTCCTTTTCTTTCTTTCTTTTTTTTTTCGTGTATTAATTACAGAGTCATTATGATGCCTGGTTGCTAGGAGCTCTGAGGTCGAGCGAGCCCAGAAGATAGGAGTTGCTGACAAGCTGCCTCCATCCACTGTCTCTGGGACCGACACCGTCTTCCCAGCACCCAACCTTGTCCCCTCAGCCCCTCCCTGCGGCCAGGGGCCGCTCAGGCGGGAGAACAAGCCGCAGCCAGGCCACCTACCGGGTTGTTGCTGGCCTTCCCTGCCAGGATGACCCGGGCCTTGACCTTGTTCATGTTGAAGTTCTTGAGGTAGGCCTCATAAATTCTCTTGGCGAGGGACTTCAGATCTGCTGTTTCTGCATCTTCTGGGTCATGTTCGCAGGTGAGAATTTCCGCTTTCAGTTTTGCTTTTTCAGATCTCGGCATTCGTCCAAAGCGAATTGCTGGGGGGCGGGGAGGGGGCGGCGGGAGAGAACGGGAAGCGAGCAGAGGTGAGCATCAGGGTGCACGACAGGGGACGGGCCTCTGGGCGGAGAGGGTGCGCCGAGAATTCAACCGCGAACCAAAGCCGCCCCGTCAGGACTAGTCAACATTGTACTGCTCTCTCTATTCTGGAGAGAGGAAAATGAAACTCAACCCTCCATAAACTCTGGACTTCTTCAAGAGGCTAAAAGGCAAAGCGACACCCTCACTTGTTTCGTCAGTAGGATCAGTCGAAGGTTCAAAATTGTCCTTTAGGACAATTGTCCTAATTGACCTAATTATCATGAGGTCCAAACTTGACCCTAGTTTGAGGAGATGGCAGTGACCCCTAGGGTGACTTCATGCGACACCTTTTTCTTTGTCCAGAAGGTAGACCTGCGACCATTGGGAACTAGTCATTTTAGATCTACTTTCGCGTCATCACTGGCGTGTTGTAAAATGACAGCAGGGTTCAGAATGACAATATTCGCCGCACATGTGCTTTGTGGGGATGCTGTGACCATACTGGCATCCCAGAGGGATTTCCATTCCGTCTGAAAACCTTCAGTCAAAGTCTTACCGTGTGAAGTGTCTAAGAGGAATTCCGGGAGCTCTGCTGCGTCTCAGCTACGTGACACTTTTCCCTTCTTAGGCTATCTGGGTTGCAAAACGATCTGGGCACTACGTGCTGCCGCGCATTCATTCAAAACACAGTCCGTGGTGACCAGACAAGGGAGGTGGGCTGAGGCACGGGCTGCAGAAGCGCACTAGACAACCTTACCTACCGTTATGGGACATCCCGACCGAAAGGCACTTGTGGAAACGACAGTACTGGCACTTATTCCGGTTCTTTTTCTGAATCTTGCAGCTGCGGTCACATCTGTCATAGGCCAGCTTCAGCCGAATGGTTCGCCGGAAGAAACCCTGTGGGATGGACGCAAGGTTGGGGAGGGGTGTTTCTTGTCGTTCATTTACTGTACTTTTCAAATGAACTGAAATTAGTAAAATCGTTCTAAGAAGTCTGACTTAATTGGGACAAACTGACAAATTTAAATTTCATTACACGTAAGACGAAAAACTAACAAAGTGAGGCAAAATTCAAAGTCGTTTCAAGACGTCCTCGTCTGGCTTGGGAAGACAATGGTTATCGTCTCCCAGAGTCACTTAGTCCCAATTTGTGTAAGTGTCGCTTTCCCTCCCCAACTCACATCCAGATCTGTGACTGCACAGATCTCTGTGTAAGAGAATACTAGCCCCCTCAAGACAAAAATTATAATGAACTCATAAAAGGCAGCCACCTGTTTGTAAAGAACGGTCACACTTTACAAAAGCTTATCTTAAACTCTACCCAGTAAGAACCTTTAGTATTTAGTCCATGAGGAACAAAACGTAACAACAGGAACTCAGGCACAGCCCTGGGGTAAAAGTTACTCTGCAAGTAACTTCTTTCACAAGTTCATGGTCAGAAGGCTTGTGAAGCATCTGTATTTGCTTTGGTGCTTTCTCTGTTTGCTTCCCACTTATTCCTGCCTGTTTCACACCAGGCAGGTCTGGAAAGCCTGCGGATCTCTAAGTCTGTAAAGTGGGGATGGCCAGAGCAGGCCAGGAGCATGAGGAGGCTGAAGAGAGAATTCTGCCCGTCGGAAGGCAGTCTGGCCCTTTCTCCCCACAGCCCAGGCCTTCGAGGCCAGCCCGGGCTCGGGTGCGGTGCTGCTGTCAAGGACGTGGGTTGTGCCCGCACTAGGAAGGGCTGTGGTGTCTTCCAAAGTCAGCAAACCGTCTCAGCATGCACAGGGGAAGAGTTCGGATTTTAACCGAACACTGAGATGACGAGACACTGCGCGTATCAGGTACATGAAATACCAAAGCTGAGAGTGTACACAAAGTCCTAAAAGCATGATGTGGGGGCCTGACACTACTGACTGACAGATCCTTTTAGTGATGATCAAAATCTGTGTTTAAGAAGAAGCAGCCATTGTCCCGAGCAGGGACACTCTCCCCTGCTGGGGTCCACCGTACCTTACAGCCTTCACACGCATGAACTCCGTAATGGTAGCCTGAAGCTTTGTCCCCACAGATCCTACATTCAATGTTCAAGGCTATGCTGGAAGGTTCATCAGCACTACCGGCCGCCACTGGGTACGTGACCGACGAGGGGCTTGAAGCTGGTGAGAGGGTGTCTGAGAACAGAGGAGAAAGACCGATGAGCATTCCAGACAACGTTGCCATCGATGTCTATGCCAAGTTCAAGAGGACACGACTGCATATGAGGAGGCGCTGGCTAGTAGGCAGAGCTCCCGGCCTGGGCTGGCCCCTGTCCTGGGCTGTCCCACCCCCACCTTGTGTGCCTCCAGTTACTGCAGTGACATCCACACAGCGGCTGGGAGGCCCCTGGGTTCTGGACCCACACACCCAGCTGTCTCCCCCCCACCTCCAACCCTGGCGCGGCCTACACACAATTTTTACTTGGCTTCCCTCCACTCTTCTGCAAATGTTAACTCCGTAAATCACACCAGAATACAGGATGAAAATCCATGTGGGCAACACCGGAAGCAACAATCCATGAAAGATTTAAAAAAAAAAAAAATTAAGCTGACTTCCTTAAAATTAAAAAACTTCTTTCTGCTCTGCAGAAGACACTGCCAAGAGAATGAAAAAGACAAGCCACGGGCAGGGAGACAATGTTCGCAACACACACATTCATAAAAGACTTGTATCCAAAATACACAGAGAAGTCTTAAACTCAACAATAAAACAAACCACTCAATTAAGAAAACGGGCAGAAGATCTGAACAGACCCTCACTGAAGAATGGTAGCAAATCAGTATCACTTGCCATTAGGAAATTGTGAGTTCAAATTAGACATCTCTATGCACCTATTAGACCGGCGAAAACAAACAGACAAGCACTGGGGCGCCTGGGGGACTCAGCGGGCTGAGCGTCCACCTTCGGCTCAGGTCATGATCTCGGGGTCCTCAGATCGAGTCCCGAGTCGGGCTCTCTGCTCAGCGGGGAGCCTGCTTCTTCTCCCTCTGCCTCTCCCCCTGCTTGTGCACATGCATGCTCTTGCTCTCTTAAATAAATAAGTAAACCTTTTTAAAAAATTAAATTAAACAAACAAACAAAGCCCTGACAACATCGCCTGTTGGTAAGGACACGCGGCGACGGGAATGCTCGCCCGTGGCTCGTGGGAACGCAGAGTGGTGCAGCCACGCTGGAAGATAGTTTGGCAGAACAGTCTTAAAGGAATTACACTCCGAGGTATTTAGTGAAGTGATCTGAGGACTAAGTTCACACAAAAACCTACACATGAATGTCTATATCAGCTTTAGTGTTAATCTCCCCAAATCGGAAGCAACCAAGATGCCCTTCGATAGGTGAAAGGATAAGAAGGGAAAGCCAGTCTGAAAGGTTATACACTGTACGATCCAAATATCTGATGTTTTGGGGAAGCTGAATCATAGGTCTGGCACAAAGGTGAGTTGCTGGGGGAGGGTGGGAGGCAGGTGAACAGGTAAAACAGATTTTTGGAGATGGTGAAACGATTCATATGAAAACATCACGGTGAAGACACAACGTGATGCCTTTGTCGAAACCCACAGAACTTTACGGTACAGAGTGAGCCTTCATGCGCTCAAATAAAAATTTAGGAGGTTGGGGAACGATGCTGGCGGAATGCAGAGTGTGACAAAGTGAGCTCACTGTGTCACACATGCACAGAATGGCTTTCCTGAAGGAGATGTGGAGAAGACCCCACCCAAGGCAACTTGGAAATGAGTGGCATCTATGAGGCCAAAGGCAAAGGAGCTGCGTGTCAGCTTGGGGTGTCCGTGGAGAAAGCAGCTCCCACAGGGTACAGGTTAGCCACCCTGATGCCACCACTGCGTAGACTGGAGACAGACCATGAATGGAAGGAATGGTGGCGTGGGAGCCAGGCCTCTCACTGTGGGAGCAGGAGCTAGCAGATCGGCTGGGAAAGGTAAGAATGACCCATGTGGTGGCGGGTTAGTGCCGCAGGCATCAGCGCAACAGAGATACAAATGGCGACATACAGAAATGTTTGTGGACCTATGGGTATACGTGGGTTAGAACATACAGATATCTCTTTGCTCCATCAGCTAAGAGAGCCTGAAAGAAAAGACACTCCAGCAGCAACCTGAAAGGACAGGGGAGCAGCAGCCAGGACTCTGACAAGGCTGGATATAGTTCTGTGACCACCTCTCACGGTAAAAGCCTCAGAATCCGTAGGCCATCAGGTAAGGGTCTCAGAAGGATTTTTGCCTCAGTATTGGGGCAGACTTAACACTGTTATGGTTCCATCTAACATAGGACCCAAAAGGTCAAACATTTTCCAAGTAACTTAACTGCGTCCCAGAACAGAACTCAGAAGTATTTATGGGAATACAAAAATATCCATCATGAACAAAGTTCACAATGCATGGCATCCGATAAAAAAAATTACAGGGGCACCCGGGTGACTTAGTTGGCTAAGCGCCCAACTCTTGATTTCCGCTCAGGTCATGATTTCAGGGTTAGGCTACACCTGAATAAACACAGATGATTAAAGTTATGACTGTATCCTAATGTGTTCAAGGAGCAGGATGAAAGACTAGAGACTGGGTGGAAAAGCACCACATTGCACTTCTAGTGAGTAAGACTACACCACCTAGTGTGAGAAATACACTGGATGGATCAGAGCCGGTTTAGACACTGCAGAAGAAGAGATTAGTAAAAGTGAAGACACAGCAAAAAACAACAACAACAAACTATCCAAAATGAAACACTGAGAGAAATAAAACAAACAAACAAAAAAGCTTCATAAGTAAAATCTACCAACCATTTAAGGAAGAACTAGTATCAATTCCACAGAAATACAGAAAACTGTAGAGGAGGGGCTATTTCCTAATTCATGCCATGAGGCTAGCATTAATCTGATACCAAAACCAGATAAAGATTTTACAGGAAAACTAGAACCAATATCCTTCATGAACAAAGACACAAAAATTCTTAACAAAATTTTAACAAGTCCACCATGTACAGAAAGGACAATCCATGATGACCAAATAGGATTTATTCTGGGAATACAAAGTTGACCTAATCTTTGAAAATCAAATAGTATAATTCGCTGTATCAACCACGTAAAAAAAGAGAAGTCACTTGATCATCCTACTAGATGAAGGAATAGTATTTGACAAAATCCAACATTAATTTCTGATAAAAACTCACAGAAAACTGGGAAGGAGAACTTCTTCAATCTAGGAAAGGGTATCTATGAAAAACAGTTATTGTCATACCTAGGGGTGAAAGACTGAGATCAGGAATAAGGCAAGGGTGTCTCCTTATTCAACATCATACTGGAGATTTCCAACTAGTGTAATAAGGCAAGAAAAAAAAAATAAAGGCATCCAGCTTCAAAAGGAAGAAGTAAAACTGTCTTTATGTACACATGACATAATTACCTGTGCAGAAAATTCTAAAAACCTATAAAATATGAAACACTTGGCAATAAATCTGACCCCAGAAATATGAAAGATGTATACACTAAAAACTAGAAAACATTGCAGAGAGAAAAATTTTTTGAAGATTTTATTTATTTGACAGAGAGAGCAAGAGAGTGCACATACAAGCCAGGGGTGGGAGAGACAGAGGGAGAAGCAGACTCCCTGCCAAGCAGGATCCCAGGACTCTGGGATCATGACCTGAGCCGAAGGCAGATGCTTAACTGACTGAGCCACCCAGGCGCCCCCTCAGAAAGAAATTAATGAAGAGCTATCTAAGAGGGGAAATAAGTTCATGGCTCAGAAGGCTTGGTGTTGGTAAGATGTCAATTCTCCCCACATTGATCTTTTGACTTAAGGCAATCCCAATTAGACTCAGCAGACTTTTTTGGTAGAAATTGAAAAACTGATTCTAAAACTACCAGCACACCCAAAACATCTTCAGGAAAGAAGAATAAAGTTGGAGAATTTAGTGAAACTTGCCTTCAGGCCTTATTATACAGTTACAGTAAGCAGAAATTAGCGGCACTGGTGTCAAATGAGACAAACAAATGGAACTGAAATAGGCCCAGGCAGCTAAAACCTATTGATTTTTGACGAAGATATAAAGGCCGTATAGTGGAGATAACAGTCTTTTTAATAAAGTCTGTGAGAATAATTACAAATGCAAAAGAGAGAGAGAGAAAAGAAATGAGTTTTGAGGCATATATGAAAATTAATTCAATAGATCTAGACAAATTCCGTAGAGCTAGGGCAAATATGTAAAACCTAAAAAATGTCAGACTTACAGAATAAAGTGACTTTGGGTGAGGAAATTTTTCTTAACTATGACACAGAAAGCAGGATCCATGGGGAAAAAAAACACTGACAAATTCACTTCTTCAAAATTAAGGACTTCTGTGTCTTGAAAACCACTGCTAAGGGAAGGAAAAGACAAGCCACAGATGAGGAGAAGCTATCCAGAAATCACACATCTGATAAAATACTTGTATCCAGAATATATGAATACCTCTCAACAGTCAAAAACAAGGAAATCACTCAATTTAAAAATGGGCAAAAGGTTTGAACAGAAATGTCACCTAAGAAGATGTGTACTCATGAGGCACAAGCTTGGAGTTATCACATAAACAAGTCATGGGGCAGAGACGTACAGCATTGCAAGTACAGTCTGAACTCTCGTGATAACATTGTACGGCGACAGACGGTGATGGAGTGTAGCGGAGAGCACTGTGTCATGCACGCAACTGTGAAACCACTGTGTTGTATACCAGAAGCTGATGTAACACTGTGTGTCAATTATGCTTCATTGAAAATATTTACAGGGGAGCCTGGGTGGCTCAGCCAGTTAAGCGTCTGCCTTCGGCTCATGTCATGATCCTGGAGTCCTGGGATCGAGCCCTACATCATGCTCCCTGCTCGGTGGGAAGTCTGCTTCTCCCTCTCCCCCCGCTGCTTCTCTCTCTGCTTGAGCGTGCGCTCTCTCTCTCTCTCTCTCTCTCTGTCAAATAAATAAATACAATCTTAAAAAAAAAAGTGATATACTGTTCTGGAAAAGACTTTGGCAGTTTCTTAAAAGTCACATATACGTCTACCTTACGTCCCAGCCATTTGCTCCTAGGTATTTAGCAGAGAGAAGTGAAAGCACACGTCCACAGAGAGACTTGGACGTGAAGGTTCTCAGCAGCATCATTTGCAACAGCTGATACCCAGAAGCAACTGAAAAGTTCACCGACAGGTGTGAGTAAAGAAAAAAAAAAAGTGCGTATCCACACAACACATAAAAAACCTGAGCTTCTGGTATGTGCTTTGATGCAAATGAATCTCAAAAGAATTTTGAAGAGTGAAAGAAGCCAGCTGAAAAGAACACCTATCGCATTATTCTTTTTATATGAAACTCTAGGAGCTACAGGCAGATCTATAATGAGAGAAAGATTGGTGTTGCTCAGGGGAGGGAGGGAGACCAAGGGGTGGGGAAGAGGGTTTATAAAAGAGCACAAATAAATTTGGAGGTGATGGGTTTGGTCACTGTTTTCATTGTGGTGGTGGTTTCACACTCAAAACGTGTGTGTACACATCAAACTGTGCATGTTAACTATGTGCAGTTTACTGTATGCCATAAAGTTGCAAAGGAAAATCGGGGGAGAAAGATAGATTGGCCTCGCACGCAGCCCCGCCCATCTGTTCTCCTGGGTGTAAAGTTTAAAGTGAATACATTTTATAGACGGTCCTTCCATGGGAGCAATTTGCATAATGCAGAAATACCACCGAGGGAAGGAAAAATCTAATTTACAAAGAAGCGGTAATCTTATCTCAAATCAGCTAGTCCCACCAGCCCTGGAGAACCTGGGAAGGAAATAGGAAGATTTTAAAGAAGCGAGAGATGATGCCAAATGATGAAAAGACCAACCACAACAGTGCGGGGAAGCTGGCGCACACCCAGGGCCTGGAGGGCCAGGGGCCCCGGGTCAGGGGTGTGCGTGGCATACGTTTCAATGTGATCACTTTTTGTAAGTTCCCCCTCTTCTGTTTTTGCCACAAAGTTCCTTGGAATTGGTTGAACTCCAGGATGGAACTCTCTCCCCGCAAACCCTGCTCTTACTTTATTTAGATGCAAAGCATATGTCTGCCCATGGACTTGGGTCCGGTGTGGCTTTTGATGGGAGCATATGGACCAGGAGGCTAGTTTATACGACATTTCCAGGTCTTATATGTCAGAGCTTTCAGGTGGCTTAGGAATATATTTTAGATTATCGTTCTTGACAACGACCTAAAACACAACCTTGAAACAAATGGAAGAACGTAATTTCGGATCCCTCCTGTTTGAGGGTGAGGACTTGGGAGAGAGAAAATCCAGGCAGAGCGGCCGCTGTGGACTCTATCTTCCCGGAGAAGGTGGGTGTCTGCACACTCTTTCCATCCATGGCTGGAACAGAGCTTTCCAGGGGTTTTACAACTACACAGCCACCCTGCTCGCACAAGTTCCTTATTTGAAGAATGACCTCAAGAGCATGTGTGACCTAAAGGAAAGCCTATCCCCAAATCTTTCGTTATAAAATGAACAACATGTTTTCCAAAGGGGGGATCTGCCTTCTTTTAATAATAAAAAAAGGAAACATGGACACAAATAAATCTTCTCAAATCCTGAAGAAAAAAAATTTCTGATAGTCAGTATAACCACAAATAGTATGTGAAAACAACTGGCCAGTAGGCTCCGTGCCTACAATGTGGTGACTCAAAGATGCATTTGGAGGGGTTGAGAGCTGGGTTTGACCCTGGGCTTGTCATCTTCAGCATGTCCCAGTGTCCTGGGGTCTCTCTTCCTCTTTCCTCAAACAAACAGAACAATGAGCTCAAACATTGTTCTTGGGATTCAGGTAGACAAGGCACATGCACTGGCTACCATGGTGCCCAGTAGCCTAGGCTGTCACTGTCCCGGACACTAGCACAGGTCGGCCATGCGGCAACCTACTGAGGCACTGAAGGTGATCCCGCACCCCAGAGGCTTTTCCTTGCTTGCCTCCCTTGCTGTTTCTGGAAGCTCCCATCACCCTGGACGCTTGCTCCTTTCCCTCAAAGCTCACTCCCTCAATAACAAGTCATGAAAAAGTCAAAATGCAAACCACTGGGGAGCCTCGGTGGCTCAGATGGTTAAGCATCTGCCTTCAGCTCAGTGCATGATCTATAGGTCCTGGAATCGAGCCCCACCGTGGGCTCCCAACTCAGCTGGGGAGTCTGCTTCCCCTTCTCCTCTGCCACACCCCACTTCTTGTGCTCTCTCTGTGTCTCTTTCTCTCATATAAGTAAAGACATAAATCTTAAAAAAAAAAAAAGTGAATCATTTATAAAGGTCTGTTGTGGTCACTACAAAGGCTGTTTGCCCAGGAAGGCAACGGAGTCCGGTAACTCGTCATCTCCCCGGGTCTCACATGGATCGTGTGGTCCCTGACTCTGGGCCGAGGACGCCGCTGCCAAAAGGGATGTTCTTACGAAGAACTCGGCTTCAGAGCCAGCTGAGGGGCACAGGTTCAGGTCCTGGCACGGTCTCTTTCTAGCTATGTGACCGGGCCATGTTACCTCATAGCTGTGTTATTTCCACTTGTAAAATGACAACGGTCTTCTCACTGAGATTTTACGAGGATTGTGTGAGGCTGTGCGCAAGGTGCTTTCTCCTTCTGCCAGGAATGCTCTTTCCTGCTGGTTTTATTTTTCGTTAAAGCACCTCACACATATAGAGAAATATACAGAAGGACACCTGCTGCCCAGATTTACAAATGGTAATGTTTCATCACACCGCTTCTGCCTTCTGTCTGAAGTCCCGGCAGGACCCTCTCCCCAGTCCCACCTGCCTCTCGGCAGGGCACCGACATCATAAAGCTGGCACGAGCTTTCCCAGATGTGACATGGACCTACCGACCACATTCGGCACTGTTTGGTGTTGGAGACTTCACATGCATCGAACTGTACAGAATATATCGTCAAGCTTATTTTTATTCTTTTTCATTCTTTATCTTCACGCTTTTTACGTGGATTCGAGTGGAGACAGGTGGAGCTAACTCTTTTAAGTTATGATGAAGAACTCCACAGCAGGACGCTTTCACAATCTGCTTCCCCTGCTTCCTATTTGTCCCCACTGCGTGGGGCACCATGCCGCAGGCGCTATCCCAAATACGGCTGCCACGTGCACCTGTCCGCGTGTCTCCTTTTTAACGATGTCTGTCCCCGGTGGGCCCACTGGGTCGAGAGCGCACGCACCTCCGACTACTCTCTCTACAGAGGTTTCATCAGCGCACACTGCTCCCGCCATCACCAAGGTCAGCACACAGTCATGAAAGCCATCTTCCTGGCGTGGGAATTGGCGAGAAGACGGTTGGCGGAAAAGTGCTCTGGGTTAAGGACTCGACGCGTGGGAGGCTTGTCCGATGAGGGCCTGGTTCACACCACAGCACCCAGGGCCGGCTTCAGAGCTGCCTGGAAGGATGGCGGGTTCCGCCATTTCTTCTCTGTGACACCAGAGGCTCTGTGGATGGACCCCAGGTCTTACGTCTTTGCATCTGCCCCGCTGATACGAGTTGCGGGTTTTTTTTTTTTAAGATTATATCTATTTATTTGAGAGCGAGAGCGAGCGAGCGGAGGGAGGAGCAGGGGAGAGAGAGAGTCTCCAGCCGACTCCACGGAGCACGTGGAGCCCAACGTGGGACTCGTTCTCAGGACCCTGAGATCGTGACCTGGGCCGAAACCAAGAGTCGGACGCTTCACCGACTGAGCCCCCCAGGCACCCCTTTCCTGCAGTTCCTGATGCAGTGAAGAAAATACGGGGGTGGTTCATGTACATTTCCAGATTAAAAAAAATCATCCTTTTTATCATAACAGGAGCCTCTGCTTTGAAGAAATAGAAACTCAGACTTGCTTAGAAATGTAGCTGACTGCCTTAACTGGATTTCAAGCGTTATTTGATTTGCGTATGGCTTTTAAAAGCGGGCATGCTGTGTGTCTCACAGTGTCTCCTGAAAGGCCCCCAGGCCAGTGGACTCGGTGTCATGCTCTATCATGTCTAAACAGTTCACGGCACAAAGGTGGGACTACTTCTTTGCCAGCTAAAGTGAACACTTTTCTCTGCAGGAAAGCAAAACAAAACAGACAACAAAAACTGACCTAAATAAAGCGCTATGGGATACAGCACACTTACCCGTAATAACAGATCCGTCTGATCCCGGGCCACTTCCTAAATACTGGTATTCTGCGAAACTGAAGCTTCCAGAACTGTCCTCGCCGATGGATTGAGAAATCTCTTGGATGTTTCCCATTTCTTGTAGAAATTCTTCAGATAATGGGCTTTCCAGATCGTCAGCCTCGAGTGGGGAGAGGGGGCAAATCGGGGTTTCTGTGTCTACCATCTTGACGAGAGGGTTCTGGAAATGTAGCCGAGGCCCAGCCTGGGAGGAGAGAGAAGTAGCCAGTGAGTCAAACGCAGAGGAACACTTTTCCTTCCTTGAAAACCTCCTGTACCCATGACGACCCACTAAATTCATAATCTAAGAAGGGACAGTGCTGACCACTCTTTCTCGGCATGCCTCTTGATGAGCGCGCTCGGAAAGTGGAAATCTTTCAACACAACACGTTCAGGAGACAAGGCTGACCCTGCGAGAATCAGTCACTTGCTACCGAGCGCACAGTGTGTCGACACACGGTGTCTGACTGGACAGAAGTGGCCGCGGATACAAAGTCCCTGCTTGCCTAGAGCACTAGTTTCGGTGGGGACACAGACAGTAAATAAACGAATACACGTGGGGACTGAATGTCTGCCGGTGCCCCGACAACAGAGCGGATGGGGACGGACGCTGCCTTACAGGGGGACACTGCCTGGCGGAGCTGGGGACAGTAGAACATGAAAGGGTGCGCTGCACAGAGGTCTTGGGGGAGAATGTTCCAGCAAACAGTGTGTGCAAAAGCCCCACAATGGAAGCCTTCTAGGAACGCACAGGCCAGTGTGGCTCAGCGCAGGGGCGCAGAGAGAGCAGGAGGGACAAGCCATCAGCACACACCCTGGTGTGACAGTCTACGTTCTCCTTGTACCCCGGGGGTAAGTCACGCAGGTTTTCCCTAATAAATGATTGCACACTTACCGGTACATCGTAGAGTTTAAAAAACCCAACTATGTGAGTGTCTAACAAAGCTAGACTGTTTCAGCTGGCAAACAACAGAGCGCTCTCCAGGTGGGTACTGTTAGGAGCTGAACTGTGTCCTGCCCAAATCCCTATGCTGGAATCCTCACCCCAGGACCTCAGAACGTGGCTATATTCGGAGAGAGGGTCTTGAAGAGGCCCCTAATTTAAGACGAGGGTCTTTAAAGCCAGCTCCGAGCGATCTGATTGGTGTTCTACGAAGAGCAACGTGGGAGACACAAAAAGAGACACCAGGGGCATGCGTGCCCAGGTGCACAGGTGTGTGGCAGGTCCAGCTGCCTGAACTGGCCTCCCATCTCTGTCCTCCTGAGTCCCGAGCCAGGTCCATCTCTGGCCTGGCAGTCATGCATAGCCCAGTGACATTTCGCTTCCAGGACTGCTTTCCCATCTGAAGCGGTTCCAGGGAAGCCCACAGCTTGCAGCACCAAGAGGACCCAAGGAGGTACAAGCCGACCACAGCCAGGGCTGACCTCGAGGCGCTGCCATCACATGGTGACCACAGGATGCCAGGCTCGCTCAGCTGAGCGAGAACAGTATTCCAGAACAAACTCGCGGGACGTGCTCTTCTAAAACGTGTCACAATTCAGCCCTGCTTCGAGGAAACATCTTTAAGTGGAAAGATGAAGGGATGTTTTGACTTCCTTTAGAAATGCAAAATGGGTACAAGTCACACATTTTTGTGGAAGTCACATCTCCTGCTTCGAATTCAGACAGCAAGTTCTCATGGTTGATAATAACACGCAGGAAAAATAAAAGGGAACCATTAGCCTTTCATAGGATTTAAAAGACTTTCTGTGTTTCCATAAGCAGGCGACGGCTCTGTGCATTTTCTTCTATCATGTTTTAGTCTGCATTATATCTGAAGGCAGCTTTCTTCAAACGGCAAGCAAGACAGTAGGGTAAGAGTTATTTAAACTATTTTTCACCACAAACAAAAGGTTAACAACTGCAGTCACTAAAGTAAAATATTAACTGTGAAGTTTAGCCTGGTACCAGAGAGCTGGGCAGAGGCTGTGAGGTCAGTGGGGCTGGGACCATCTTCTCCTCAGGCTCCCAGTGCTGCAAGGGAAACTGCGCGCGGACGGCAGCCTTTTTTCCCTGGAAATATTCTCTCTTCCAACCAGGAGCGTCACAGCTGGAAGAACTGATCTTTGACTACAAAATGATGTTCGTTTCCTTGTCATTACACTCAGGGAGTTAGAATACTCTTACCGCTTTACTTTTCAGTTGCTTTTAAAGCACACCTGAGATTTATTTAGGGGAACGTCGGTCCTGCTTGTTCATGAGGAGCTAACAAGATAAAATCTGTCTGCAGAGTGAGGCGACACTGTCCTGAACTCCTGCCAGAGGCCTGCGTTTGCACGGATCACTGAATACACCGGCCCTTCCTTGCTTCCGGCTGGGGCAGATAAGGCAGGGCTCCCTGTGCAGTTGTCCCCAGGTAGAGAGCTGAGGTGGCCGGGCACACCCCCCAGCCCACCTGCCCTGTGGCTCCCGGTGTGCCTTGGCTCCCGGCCCTCCCCCCGTCGCTGTGGCTTCTGCTCCAGCAGCAGAATTATCACAGGAAGTCTGGCTCTGAAGTCCACATGGCATGGCCACTGCCCAGTTCCTTGAGGAGAACAAACCAGGCGCCAGTTACTGTGTCCTCCGCCCCCGGTGCTCTGGAGGGACAGACGGGCGCAACAGACTGATCTCTTTTCTCAGCCGCGCCCAGTCTGGCCAAGGAGGTGAGACAAACAGCTGGAGGAAAAGCAGAGCGTGCCCCCGGAACGCCGCCGGGCCTTCAGTTTCCTCGTGCAAGGGGGCGAGCCCGGGAAAAGGGCAGCGGAGCTCCCCACCCAGCTCCCATTAAGACGTATGTTCTGTGCAGTCTTGGAGTTCCTTCCCGAACCCGAGGCCTGCTGGGTTCTCTCTCAACACATCTTTCCCTTCCGGCCCAGTTTAAATGTTAGAGCTGCGTCTTGTTATTTCTGAAACTCTGAATTCTCCTTTTGGGTCTCAGTCAAGCATTTACCCATCAGAATATGCAAAATCTAAAGAAGGTTAAAAAAAGGAAGAAGAAAGAAAGAAATGACAAGAAATAAGGAAGGAAGGAAGAGAAAGGGACAGAAAGAAGGAGATGTAGATACTATTACCATTCTGTGTCACTGAGGGCAGGAGAGTGCTGGATGGATTTCAACAGTGACCCATATCCTTTACCATATCGTGTTTTCCCAATCACCAACTCTTAGGTGGCATGACTTTTTAAAAGATTAGGCTAAAATGAGCTGCTAATGGCACGATGAGCTCTTACTCTGTGAAGCCAAGCGGGGCTCAGCATACCCTCCTCCGGGTTCCCCCGCAGCACCGCGGCCCGATTCTGACAGAGCCCTAATTACACGCAGTGTGAGAACGTTTCACGTCTGTCTTAAGGGCAGAGAATGTGTTTTGTTAATCCCCGTATCCGTGGTTCTCGCACAATCCTTATGGTGCAGAGGGGATCCGGTTTCTGTTTCCAGCGCTTAGCTACGATGCGTACAGCATGTGCCCCTGCGGGCACCCCGACAGTAATTCGGTGAGAGTCTGCGAGGACTCCCCCGGCTCTGTGTTAGCAAGTGGGGCCTGCCGTCACCCAGATGGCACGGGCAGGCCCAGCGTGTCCAAAGACGACAGAACGTAAGGGTATCTAGACCAGAAGTCAGTGTGGTTCTGCGTGGGGGAAGTGATCAGAAATTTGCCCCGTGAAGCAGAATCACCAAGACCTAAACACAAAGCGCGCGAGAGGGAAAACGAGTCCAGTGAATCACAAGGCTCCGAGTCGGCAGAAACGAGCGTGTGTCAAACGGGGAAGGAGGGAGCGGGGCGCCAGCCGCCAGCCCCTTCACGCCGAGGGAGAAGCCTTGGGGCGAAGCTGGGAATGCCGGAGCAGCTTAACTCTCCACCTTAGAAACGACAGAGGCCGTGGGAGAAGTTCTGGGCTAACATAAAGTGGGTGCTTTGAGGAAAAAGTGAAGGCCTTTCATTTCGTCACATGCTTGGAATCAAGGACCAAGGAGGACTCACGTCCTGGGGCCGTGACTGCGTCAGACCCATCTCTGCGCCCCTACGTTGCTAGTGGAGTTTCTCGGACCTGCACGGCCCTTCGTAAATCTTTTCTGAAATTAAACATTAAGTAACCGCTCGATATTGTCCCAACTATCAAGACGGTTTTATATGTTATGGGATCAGATACTCAAGAGGAAGAAGAGCGGGCGCTGGGCTTGAACTCCCCCCTACTCAGCCCTTGAATTTGACCCGAAAGGGTCCGGACACATGGAACTTTGACTTTGCTGCTCTTTGTGTTTCTGTCAGCAAGCCTGAGTCACCACACTGTAAAACCCCCTCACATTATACTTACTGTGCTTACTAACGCCTCCCCATAGAAGCGGTTTACATTTTCTGTTGCGGAAGGAAGTCCGGTAAGACTTTGCGGGGTTGTGGAAAGGCAGAAGGACGGATTTTCGTCAGAGGAGCTCCACCTACAGGGCAGGGCAGGGAACGCTCAGACAAGGAACTTTCCATGTTCCACCAACTGCCCTTCACGGCCTCGTCAGAGGCGTTACCCTTCCCTGTTCCTTTGAGATCTCTAATACTTAGAGGCTTCAGCTGAATTTGCTGCACTAGCATTTAAAGTAACATTTCAAAATAAACAGAGAAACGCTACAAAGCCCTGTCTACCTTCACGTGGCACCCGAAGTTCACGGAAACCGATGAACTGTTGCCGCCTGCCTAACGATTAACGTGCTCCCGACGTCCGGACAGAAAATGCCTCCGACAGACTCTGAAGCAGAGAGGACAGCACCAGAGAGTGGCAGTGGGAAGGGAGCCCGCGACTGCGTGTTTTAATGAATTAAGCCAAAGGTGGGGTAATTAGGAGTAGTTTGCAAGCCACACAGTTATCAGGGACATCTAAGATCTTCCCCCAAGGACGCCTAAGGCATCAGCATTTTGTAATCAAAAGAATTTGGTGTGTGAAAATGGCTGAGGAGGGGCGTCTGGGTGGCTCGGTCGGTCGCTGGGTGCCTGCCTTCTGCTCGCGTCATGATCCAGAGTCCTGGGATGGAGCCCCGAATCGGGCTCCCTGCTTGGCAGGGGCACTGCTTCTCCCTCTCTCACTCCCCCTGCTTGTGTTCCTCTCTCGCTGTGTCTTTCTCTCTGTCAAATAAATAAATAAATAAAATCTTAAAAAAAAAAAAAAAAGGAAAGAAAATGGCTGAGGAGTCCAATGTGGC